TTCTAAAAGAATATTATGGTCAACTGTATCAAATGCAGCACTAAGATCCAACAGGACGAGCACAGATACAAGTCCATTATCTGAGGCCATGAGAATATCATTAGTGACTTTCACCAGAGCTGTTTCAGTGCTATGATGAGCTCTAAAGCCAGACTGAAACTCTTCAAAAAGTTCATTATGGTGGAAGTGATCGCAAACTTGTTTGGCAACTACTTTCTCAAGAATTTTGGATAAGAAAGGAAGATTGGATATAGGTCTATAATTGACCAAGTCATCTGGGTCAAGAGACGGTTTCTTAAGCAGAGGTTTAATTACAGCAACCTTAAAAGCTTTAGGTACATATCCCCGTAACAGAGATAGATTAATCACATCTAAAATGGAGGAGGAGATCAAAGGGAATACCTCCTTATATAACCTGGTTGGAACTGGATCTAACATACAAGTTGAAGGCTTAGATGAAGACAATAATTTTGCTAATTCAGAGAGTTCAACTGGATCAAAGCAGTCTAAACCCGGTTCAGATTCCATGACTACCTCAGGTACAATCGCGGATAGAGGAGTGCTTATGATCTTATTTTTAATAAAATCAATCTTATTTATAAAGAATCCCATAAAATCATTGCTGCTAAGAGCAGGTGGAATGGACGGTTCAACAGAGCTATGGCTCTGGGTGAGTTTGGCAACTGTATTAAAAAGAATCTAGGATTATTCTATTACTCCTCTATTAATGAGGAGAAGTATGCTGCTCTTGCTTTACAAAGGGTCCTCTTATACAGCAGTAAACCATTTTTCCAGACTAGGAAGGACTCTCGCAGGCCTGTGGAGCGATATTTTCTCTCCAGTTTCCTAGCATTTTGCTTCAAAGTACGCAGCTCTGCATTAAACCAAGGAGACAGCTTTCTATTTTTAACGGTTTTCATTTTCAAAGGAGCTGCGTTGTCTAATAACCTGACAACAGCCAGATGCATGTCTCGCTCCGCCCAGCTCCACTCACATACATCTGGGAACCCGCCATAGGAATTGCCTTTACTGAAGGCTGGGCCTCATCAAAACTCCTTGCATATGATTGGATAAGCCACTTGTCTGTCATCTTTATTGACGTGCTATTTCAACCACTCACACCGAAGCTAACCCGTGACGCTGTGAGAGCGACGCGGGAGAAAAACGAAACAGAACAGCCGATATCTTGGTTAAAACAACAGTGGAATCAGCACAATGTCGGTAAATGATCAATGTCGTTTGTGCCATGAAAATGTGCGGATAAAAGGCAACATTGTGCACAGCAGACTTATTTTTAAAAAAGAAGCCCATCAAAGAAGTATAGACCAACGACTTACAGAACTCGGCTTAACATTGTTACAAGTTGAAAGTACAGATCAAGTAGTATATGCCACACCGGGGTGCTTTCGCTTGATCGCAGACTCGAAGATAGTCTCGAAAATCTTAGAAAGGCAAAAAGCAAAGAGGAACCGCTTTCTGACAATCAACTGCATTCAGAAACATCAGTGGAGGCAAGACGCTGTCCGCGACGCCCATAAACGGGACAGGTAACCGACACCTTTCGAAATGGGCGTCCCCATTACCCGAACCCCCACTGCCTCCCCCAGCTACAAAAGTTGTCGAGGCCAACAACTGAACCAGAGCTCGACAAAGTGTCACTGAGGTAAGTACAAATCGTGAAACATAAGACAGAGAGCAGGAAGTACTAATGATGTAAACCACTGGTAATGCAGCACAACTTTGAACAGTTCTCACGTTTGTAGTCTAATGTAAAGGAGTTTGTCGACTACAGTTTGGGGGTAGGTTGTGTTTACGTTAGTCCCCTGACTTATAATACACCTGTAGTGCTGAATTTTGCCGAGAAACTGAATCACTGGCCGCTATCTGCTACTCCCCCTAACTCTTCACAGAATCACACAGGATTTGGGTTGCAAACAACGAAGCAGTTTTTCCTGGCCTGTGTGGAAAACGTTTCATAGGTAATTTTATAGTCGGTGGATGTACTAACACTATCAACTACTAGGAAATTAGGTGCTGAAATATCTTAAACGTTATTCATATGAAACATATACATATATATGTTTGTATGTACAGGACTGTCTCAGAAAAGTAGAATATTGTGATAAAATTCTTTATTTTCTGTAAAGCAATTAAAAAACATGAAATTTCATACATTCTGGATTCATTGCAAATGAACTGAAATATCGCAAGCCTTTTATTGTTTTAATATCGCTGATTATGGCGTACAGCTGAAGAAAACTCAAAAATCCTATCTCAAAATATTACAATATTTCATCAGACCAAGAAAAACGAAATTATAACAGCAAAACAACATCAAACATTTGAAAATGTACATTAATGCACTCAGCACTTGGTGATTTATACTACTTTATTTATACTTTTTCAAGATATTCTAAAATTTTGAGATAGGATATTTGGGTTTCTGAAGCTGTAAGCCATAATCAGCGATATTAAAACAATAAAAGGCTTGCAATATTTGAGTTGATTTGTAATGAATCCAGAATGTATGACATTTCATGTTTTTTAATTGCCTAAACTATACTTAACAGAAAATAAAGACTTTATCACAATATTCGAATTTATGTGTGTGTGTGTATATATTATATATATATACTATACTATACTATATAATATATATATAATATATAATATATATACATATATATATACACATACATACATACATTAGCATACAAAAGATAGATAGATAATAGATAGTAAAGATAGATAGATATATAGATAGATAGATAAGATAGATAATAGATAGAAGATAAAAGATATAAATATATATATAAATATATATATATCTATATATATATAAAGGATCTATCTGATATGAATAACTGTAAAATATTTCAGCGCAAGACTTTCTCTAGTACTTTGCTAGTTTTTTAGAACATAACATATAAGTATGTGATATTCATATAAGTTTATAAAGAAGCCCCCCCTGACATGAAGAAGAATCCTTGTAATACGATGCTGTAGCCGCCAAAGACATACTAGTTACTCGGAGGAAATGGGATACCAATATGGCGTGCTGGTGGCTTCAACACGACTGTTCAAACAGAGCGGCTATTAGCACTCCAGGTGTATAATAAGCTCAGTGGTTCTAGTTCCCATGTAGCTAGCAATAGCATAGTCTATGGGACTAGTGCTATGTATGGTCAAATTGACATGAGGAAAAGTACGCTGCCAGTGTCCCGATCATCCAAACAACACAGAAATGAATGGCAGTAAAGTAAGGCACATCACATACAACCAAACATTATATGCATGTGAAACAATACATACTAACTAAGAAGATTTTTTTGTGTGTCCTGTCTCAGGTGGTTATCTATTATCCCTCACGGCCGAAAGGGTGTCAGGGAATGTATGTGAAAGACGACACAGCAGGCATAGTGGAAGCCCAATCGCAAAAAAGAAACTGGAAGCGTGGCATTCCAATCATCTTATCAGACACATAGAAGTCTTTGGACCACTCCGTGACAACTTCCTGCAAATCATAGAGGATGAGTGCAAAATATATCGCCATCCCTTTACAGATTCTATGCTGTCCAAGTCATCAGCAGCAGATTTGAAGGCATTTTCATTTCAAAATTTGCAAGCAGATCTCCAGCGTTTGTCACCATTTTTGTTTTCAATATTTTTACGCATCACCAAACAGTCTGCTAATCCCGCTTGTGCTGCAGCAGCCATAGCTTTAAAAGGCAGGGAACCCCACTTGTCAGCCTTCTCATACTATGTCAATAGTGTCCTACAGTATGCTGGGGTGAAGAAGGCAGCCTTCAAAAGACTCAGTAAATTGGGCATAACAACGTCTTACACCAATGCTGTCAGAAAGCAAAAGGAACTGGCAAGTACATGTGGAGAGGATTTTCAGCTTCTGAAAGTAGCCAATGAAATATTCCTCAAGGAAGATGAAGACACCAGCACAGCCAATGGTGGATTTGTTACAGGAAGGGAAAACAAAGGTGCCAAAGGAGCTACCCAAACAAGCACACTCGAAGACTCTGTGGCAGAGCTGGATGAAGCCATGCTTAGCATGAAGCCGTTTGTCTTGTCAGGCAAGAAAGGCCAGTATTTAACGTTGTGCAATTTCTTTATCCATTCAGCTGCTTGAGAGCTTTGTAATGATGTATAATAATTTTAAAAATAGTAATCGCTGTCATTTACAGCGCCTTTGTAAGTACCAAATGTCACTTACAATCTATGTTCCATTTCTGTTAAGGCTTGATGATTTATGTTTCTTCTTTATTGTTTGTTTCTTACAGATGAACCTACTCAAGAGAACACCACTGTCACACAGCAGGCTATCGATGTCACCACTACTCCTTTACAGATGGAGCAGCATCCGGGGTCTGACAATGTTACAGCTGTGTTAGCCTTCAGTACAGTAACAGACACTGAAATGGCAGATCTGGGCGTAGCAATATTGCCTGAAGAAGCACCAACCGAGCCAACTCCCCCATCTACATATTCAATTATATTTGACAATCTGGACTTCTTCAGCCACACAACACTCACCAGTCTGTCACCCGGCAACAAACAAATCAGTTCACTGGATTCCACCACATAGCTGTGGAAGACAGAGTCCCTCAAACCGATCTCAGCAGACAAAAGCCGACTCAAACCAATCACAGATTACAACATTGGGAAGATCCCGTCCCTAGTCTGCACTCCCAAGCCCAAACGCGTCGTGATTAATGTTTCCTGTGAACCGAATCCAGAATCCAAATACCTAAATGCCTTCAAGCCGCTATCATCAATCGTGTTTCATCACATCCCCAACCAGTATTCTGCAGAAATGTCAGAGCCTTCGACCCACTGTAAGTATTAAATGACCTACACTTCATTTTGAGTTTTTGGGCATTTCTGTATACCTATTTGACTTACAAAAGCATATAACCTGGTAGTTAATTGGTATATGCTATCACTCCAAACTTTAATGCTATTTCTATTCATGTGTTCCTTCGTCAAAGCACCCCCTTGGACTTCTGTTCAAAGATGAGAACAAGTCCACAGAGTTGGCTGATGTTCTACAGCATCTCCAGAATGAGTAAGTAAGCTGGGGTAGCCAAAACAGAGTTACATATTCAGCTTGAGAAGGGTATTGAATTAATAAAGCTTTGACATCTGCTTGATTTGTCATATAGGTATGTTCCAAAGGGCCCAGATGGACCGCAGAGCATTTTAGTCGGTGGTGACAGACTAACGGAGGGAAATAGCCGCGGCATACAGTTGGCCTTTGCCGAAGGAGAAAATGTGGACGACAGGCTGGAAGGCCTTGTCTTTAAGTTTGAAGATTGGCACGCAATTAGAAACCTTTTTGAGGTGAGTGACCTTATCATATACTTAAAGGTTACCTGTACCCTAAAAAAAAATCAGGCACATTATATCAGCATCTGCCCCTACACGTCACCACACCGCTTTGTTTATTCACTTTAAGCACAACTTCGACAATTCTCTCACCAAGTGTGCTTATGTTGCCAGTGGTTTAGCGATCAAGGGCTGTTTGTGCAATTATTTTGAGGGGACAGCGCATTTACAGTTCACACTGTACATTTTATTGAAACGTAATGTATTCACGATTGCCTCATAAAAAGACACATTATTATAGTATATCTGATTCAATTAAGTCCAAAAACTTTGGTGTTGTACATACTTCTGTTACATACTGAAACTGCATGAGTTTTTTTAGATCATGTCCTTTTTTTTTTCTCCTTCCCTGCCAAATGGCTTTATTGACTACTACAAAAATGATTTTCATTTTAGATCTATCATCGGGTCTTTTACAAAGAGGGTTCGGCAAGGGATCATGGGACACTCCTCGCCAATATGAATAAGTTGAGGTATGCTTACCTATCATGAGTTAAGTTAAAAATGCTACTTTTGTGCATTGTCTTTGGCATTCTTAGCTGCTGTCGGTTTAATATCTACATGTTTCTTTTAATATTTGCATTCTGAATAACATTGAATTGTTCACTGTTTTCAGGTTTTTCCCTTTGAACGATGAACCCCAGCCACCATGAATTACGGCTCGGTACTTCATCACGACTTTTTCTGCTCTGTCCTGTTGTCCAGCCACCATGAATTACGGCTCGGTACTTCAACACGACTTTTTCTGCTCTGTCCTGTTGTCCAGCCACCATGAATTACGGCTTGGTACTTTTATCACTCATTCAATTTTGTCTGTATGTCTGTTATGTAGATCAGGAGTGTGTATGTGTGTGTGTGTATGTGTGTGTCTCTTTCAGGTCTGTCTGTATGTCTGCTATGTATCTCAGGAGGGTGTGTGTGTGTGTGTGTGTGTGTGTGTGTGTGTGTGTGTGTGTGCGTGCGTGCGTGTGTGTGCGTGCGTGCGGTCATCTGGTGAGAGTCAGGTTTGGAATGTATTTCAACCACCATGAATTAACAGTTTGGAACTTCAACATCACAACTTACTCTGCTACATTAGATACTATCACCATCATCAAAAACAAGTCGTCTTCTTACAGATGCAGCAATGCAAAGCAAGGTCCACGTGCTGCTTTCAATGCATACAAGGAGTTTGTGCAGAAGGACACTACAGCTCTCTTCTTGGCTGCGGCAATGGAGCACTTTGGACTACAGAATGTGTCAGGTATAACCAGGGTCCGAAATTAACACTCGCCAGTCACCAAATGCGAGTAAATTTCCCGTTTGGCGAGTGAATCTCAGAGGGATAGCTGCCACATGGCGAGTAAATTTTTGTACCAAATAAAATAAAAATAACATAAAAATAACGAAACTCATATGATCCGTTCACAGCTCTGTCCTTCCAGAGCTCAGTCTAGACCCGCCTTCTGCGGTGCTGGTTCAGCGTCGTTCACATTCAGAACCAGTCATGGCTGCACGCTGGATCAGAACAGACCTGCTAACCAGATACTGTCTAAAAGGCCAATTAGTCTGTTTATAAGTTTCGTTCTTATTTATTGTGATTTTTTTAAACTACCTGCGCTGCGGTTCTGTGCTTCACCGCTCTTACTGCGCCTCCCCCGCCCCCCCTCTCGGAGCAAGGTGGTTTTATCAGCGGCCAGCCTTCAAAACGTGAATCGCTACGTTTAATGTCCTTCCACTCGGACCAAAATGTCCCAATTACAGTCAGTAGGAGCGTGAACCCTGAGAGCTTTACGTTTTGCAGCTGAGGGGGAAATTTTGAACCGTACATTGATGAAACTCTGCCTCATTCACAGATAAAACCAACATGGATAGAATAATGATAATCTGTAGTGTTTTTTTATCGCCTGGATGTGAATCTGATAATTCATATTGTGTCTTTTATAATCAACTGCAATATTTTTTTTTTTTAGTCAGGAAACAAAGATTTCTCTTCCAGGGTTCCTTCGGCCACGCCCCCAACCAAACCCCTCCATAATTAACATAATCTCACTCTTAATTTCTATAAAAGTTGAGGTCTGGTCTGGGTTAATATTTTGGCCATTAAAAAATATGCCTGGCCGGTTAAAGTGTACATCTACCGGCCAACTTGGCCGGTAAATAACAAAGTTAATTTCAGACACTGGGTATAACACTTCAAACAAACTACCAATGTCAGGTCAGACACTATCAGACTTAAACAATCTTTGTCATTTTTTATGCACAGAGTGCGTACAGAACAAAATGTCGTTTGTATACAGCTTAAGAATTTCAGTGAATTGCAGTGGATTTCAGAAAAAAGTAACTTTGCCGGATAAAAAAGTAACTTTGCAGTCAAACCATCGCTGTATCAACAAGGCCACTGGGGTTAAAACATTTAAAACAGTCCAACTGTATTGTTTTGTATTATTTTCTGCATGTAACATCACAGCTAACCATACATGCATCTCACATTATCTGTCTTTTTAATTCCTCAACAGATGTCCCAGACGGATTCATCCCAGACCACATCTTAACTGGTACACTAGAGGACAAAAGGACCTGGCTGCATGGTGTAGTCTCCCAAATTGTGGACAAATTTGTCATATTTGAGGACATTTCTGACATTGTCAGCGGTGTAACAGATACAGCCAGTGACCTGCCCAAACAGGGAGAGAAGCTCTCTTGCCGCGCCACAGGTTGCAAGCGTGTATACAAGTACATAAAGGCTAGGGAAAACCATGAGAAAAGAGAGCATGGGTTGACAGTATCTCCCAAGGCACCTTCATATACAGACAGTCAAAGATCAGTGTTAGACCACAAAAAGCAACACACAGAGGCTAGACTGGGTTTTGGATTCTTCTTGGCTGACCTGCAGGATGCAGTTAAGGAGGGAGACGGAGACAGGCTAATGCGATTGTATACTGTAGCGTTGATCTTCTACAAGGCCTACGGGCATACACAGTATGCATACAGCACGCTACTTCTAACCTTGCAGGTTAATCACACACTTTCCCCTCGCTTAGCACACAGTCTGGTGTGGAATAGGTTTTGGAATGGGAAGGGAGGAATGGGAAGGAACATTTCACTAGATCTACACCTAGAACACCTAAACAATTTCCTTAAGTCCTTTTTAAAACGCAGTGGTCCAAACCTTAACGAGCAAACAGCAGACAGAGTCAGCAAGTCAATTGGGGTCCTGAAAACTTTGATGGAGACCACAGACAGAGAACTACAGGTCTTAAAGTCCTCTGGTGTACATCATGCTGCTAGTCAGACTGAGGACATTTTAGCTCTGGTGGAGGTTTTTAGAGAGGCTGAGCTGTTTCAGGATCACCCAGGCAGAGAGTTCTCAGCATTCCCCCAATTTAGCAGAGATCTTTTGGCCAATCTCAAAAGCACTAACCTGAGGGGATGGGTGAAGTCCAAATTAAAGGAGTGGCAAGATCACCCTGTTTAAAAAAATGTTTTGAATGATACCAGATAATTGTAAATATTGTAAAAAGTTTTTCTTTCTGTATATATTTCATTTTGTAATACGTTTATTTATAATTGTTAAATTTGTAATATGGAAGTATTTAAAGAGTAAATTCTGTCAGCATTATGTCTAGCATAATTATTTCAAACATTGCATTTTAAGTCGAAAAAATAAAGCAAGTTTTCAGTAAAACATATCTTTTATTTGCATTTGTTAATGTTACTTGTACACAAAATTATTTACATTGTTTGCAGTGACAGTCATTCAAGGACATTAGTACAATAGCATCTACTAGCCTGCTGCTGAGGGGTGCTCAGCACTCTGACTCTGAACCGCTACTGTGTTGTGTTTCAATTTCAAAGTCCTCATCTTGTTCATCAAAATAACCTGTGAAATCAATGTCAGGCTCTGTGAAGCTCTCTTCAGGTAAAGTAGGCTCTATGTATTCGAAATCCCCGAAAACCTCACTGATCACTAGGAGAATTTCGCTTGCATGCCGTGCTGTAAATACTGGAAGGTGGTTTGTAATATAAGCCAAGTCAAAGATATAGGGACTGTGCTCAACTGCTGCTTCGATAACTTCAGTGCCAAACCCAGTACAGAGAGTCTTGTTCGTGATGAGTGGCAGGTCTGGGACTAAAGTGCGCCTGTACTGCTGTAAGCAGGCCCTGATCACAGTCTTGTCTTCCTCAGTCACCTCTGTAGATCTAAGTGGATTAGTACTCACATTTCGTTCTACAGATTCATGTTTTGGAGTAGGCTCTACACAAACACCAGATGAACATGAACACATCGAGTGGCAGTAGGTGCAACAGAGATGACCCGGCTCCAAGCTTGTGGTGTGCTCTTCAAAGTGACTAAAGAGGGCTTTTCTAAAACAGCCCCGTTTCCCTGCATGAATCAATGCTTTCACTGTTTTATCAACCCTTGGTGATGCTTGTATATTATACAAAACTGCATGTGAAGGTAAAGAGTTTCTCCCAGCCCTCCCAACCTGTTGCACTATGTCTTCCACATCCTCTGGTGCCCCGTACATGACGACATGTGAGATATTAGGAAAATTGAGGCCCATCCCCAGCGCAGTTGTAGCAACAACAACCCTGCAGCTACCCTCACCCCTAAAGGATGCCAGCACTCTCTGTTTGTACTGTGGCAGTGTCTTGCTGTGGAACATTCCGATCAGCATGTTTTCAGCCTTACGCTCTGGATCTCTGTTCACCCATGCATCTTCTCCAAGTTTAGCTTTGAGATGGCAGAACACACTTCCAACTGCCTTGAGTGATCTGCAGTAAATAATGATAGGCGACATCAACAGTCCCTTCTCTCTGACCTCCGTCACCACCCAATCCATGCAGTCCAGGTCATGACTAGGAACATGCTTCAGCCCAAGCCTGATGTTGCTTCTGTTTGGGCTAACCGTCACTTGAGTTGCCTTGTCCATGTTCAGCAGCTTGGTCACCCGGCCTCTGTTGACAATATCAGCAGATGCTGTCAAAGCCATGACAGGTGTGCCTGAAAGACAACACATGCATAATATGAAAAGGGGGGACAACGACAACCTAGGCAGCCACACTGCTTGGCCCCTCATAACAATTTTTTTTACAGATTTACACTGCAAAACGGATCTGAAGATAATTAAAATGTTCTTAAAGTTTGATTATTTATCCTTGACTTGAGCAGATAAATAAGACTATCTGCCAATCGAATGAGGATTTTTTACCCTTAAAATAAGATAATTATACATGCTGCACTTGAAATAAGATGATTGAGATGAATTGTTCCTATTTTAAGTGCCAAAGTTTTATTCCATTGGCAAATCATCTTATTTACCTGATTAAATCAAGGACAAATACACTAATTTTAATAAATTTTTAAATTATTTCTAGTTCTCTTTTTGCAGTGTAGGCCTACAGGATTAACTCACCTTCTTTAACAATTGATCTGAGTTCTCCCAGCCGGGCGAAGCTCTCTCTGAAGGCTGGACTCCCTTTGCCAGCTTCGCCCCTGATAGACAGACAGACAGATTGATAGGTATAAACTTTATTTAAGACTCCAAGTAGCTTAGAGACATAGATCCATCACACATATAATAGGTTGTTCAGTGACAACAGTAGGATTTTTTTAACTTACCATTTATACGTGACGTGAACCTCGTCGACTACGATCCCCACTAAGTTCTTCTGGTACACCTCTGAAGCAAGCATGCTCCTCCATTTCTCATTGAGCCACGACTCGGGACTTCCAAATACCAGTTGGCAACGTCCGTCGTGGATGTCGTTTTCTTTTATTCCTCCCAGCTGCATACCTGTTACACCAAATTTTCCAGCCTCTCTGATCTGATCCTCTATGAGAGCATTCAGCGGGGACACGATGATAACGATGGGGTGCTGCAGTAGTCCCATTTCCTTAACTACCAGAGGAACCATTTGGTAGATCAAGCTCTTGCCAAATCCGGTCGGGAGAAGGGCGAAAACATCGTTTCCACCAACAAAAGCCTTTAAAGCCGTTCTCTGATGTTCTTTTAATGAAACAATATCAGATAGATTGGACAACACAGAAGAAATAGCAGCATCAATGCTAACGCTTGCTTCCTCGATGCGAGCCGCCATTGTTGTTGTGATCTCACGGTCGCTTCTCCACTACGTCACATGCAGGACACACCCGCCCTGCGTCCTGATTGGACAGACCATAAATTCGGTTGGGGAAATCACTTTCAATGAGCGGGTTCCCAGATGTATGTGAGTGGAGCTGGGCGGAGCGAAACATGCATCTGGCTGTTGTCAGGTTAGTTGTCTAAGGCAATACGCAGAGAACTAGCAACCCCATCAACAAAATCATCAACCTGTGAAGGGGAATAAGCTAAGCTTTTGCACTCTGCAGCACTGCTCAGTGACACAGAGGAGAGAGAAAGTGAAGCAGATTCTTTAAAATTTATAACTGCACTATCTGATAAAGATCTACTAAAATTGAACCTTCTTTTGGGGGAGGAGAACTCTGTTAAAGTAATCCTGAAGGTTATTAGAAAGTGGTCAGAGAGGACAGGGTTGTGAGGAAATACTGTTATTTCTTCACATTCTATGCCGTATGTCAGCACAAGATCCAAAGTATGAAGATGAGAATGCGTGGGACTATTCACATTTTGAACAAAGCCAATAGTGTCTAAGATAGCATTAAAGGCTGCTCTTAAGCTATCGCCTTCAATGTCAGCATGGATGTTAAAATCTCCCACTATGATGACCCTGTCAGTATTTAATACCAAATCAGAAAGGAACTCTGAAAACTAATCTAAAAATTCAGAGTAAGGACCTGGTGGACGATACAAAGTTACAAAAAGAAGAGGTTTTCTTGCCTTGAAATTTGGATCAGGGAAATTAAGGGTTAAATGTTCAAAAGAGTTGTAGGTATTAATTGTTTTGGGAGTAATCAGTAAGTCAGACTGGAAGATTGTTGCTACTCCTCCTCCTCGCCCAGAACTTCTGGGGATGTGAAAATTTAAATAGCTTGAAGGAGTTGCCTCATTTATGCTCACATAATCCTCTTGCTACAGCCAGGTTTCTGTAAGGCAAAACAAGTCAATGTGATTATCACAAATCAAGTCATTAACTAGTAGACTTTTGGAGGAAAGCGATCTTATGTTAAACAGACCGCATTTAATTGTTTTAACTTTTTCCCCAATTGGAGTTATTTTGATTTTAATTAGATTATCATGATTTACTCCTTTGGGAATCTTTGCTAATTTATTAGATTTTGGTCGTGGGCAAGACACTGTCTGGATGGAGTAAAGAGTGGGTAACAGTAGAGAAGCTGCAGAGATGTGTGTTAAACTACAACTCTGCTTCCTGGTCTGCACCCTGGGTGGTCAGGGTTTTGGAGGACTAATAAATGTGGCCAGATTCCTGCCTCATTATAATTTATTCCTCTCACCTGTTTCCTGTGGTTTATATTCAGTTCAGCCTGAGCATTCAGTGCCAGATCATTGCTTGGCTTTCTGTCAGTCTTTCTGTTCGGTTTTTATTTGGTTCATGTCCTGGATCCTAGCTGCCAGTTGAAAGAGGGTTTTAGTGTTTGTCTCGTCTCCTGATCGTCCACTGTTCCTCCCCTGTGGAGTCCTCTGGGTTTTTGGCTCATTATGGGGGGAGGTTCAGTTTTTATCAAAGTAAGCCTGGCTCCAGGAAAGAGACCAGTTTAAAGTCCTGCTTCAAGTTCCGGTTCCTTCGTCCCGTCTCGGCTACCCTCTTCCACTGTGCCTGCTCATCTGCACCTGATCCTGTCTGCTCCTGTGCGTGACCACCTGGTCATGCTTCTGGTCCCAGTCTGACTCTGAACCCTCCTGGAAGCCTGTGCATGCCTGGAAGTCTGGATCCTGCCACCTGTCTCTGTTCCTGCCTGATCTGGATCCTGCCTGTTTCTGTCTGTTCCTGTCTGTTCTGGATCCCTCACCAGGATCAGCTTCCACCATCACCTCTGGGACTGCAGCACTGGGGACACTCGTGGTCTGGACTGTTAAACCAGGTAAGTGACCAACTCAGATAATCATTTATCAGTTTATCGTGGTCACTTACCTGTGTTTCCTCCCCTAGAGTGTCTGAGATTGGGCGGTGCCCCCCCCCCCCCCCCCCCCCCCCCCCCCCGCCTGCAGTGTCTGCAAGCCACAGCTCCGCTTTTGTTTTGTTTTTATTTTAATAAACCTTTTGAACTTTCCTACTGACTGTCTCTTCTGAATACTGGGTCCATCTGTCCTCGATTCATGACATCAAGAGCCCGTGGAGTGATGATACTAATCCATAAATCTGTTCCTTTTCAGGTCACAAATGTTATTAAGGATAAATTGGGCAGATATTTGATTGTACAGGGGTCCCTTTTACAACAAAACCTGAATTTAGTGAATATATATGGTCCCAACGTAGATGATCATAATTTCTTCTCAAATCTTTTTCTGACTCTCTCATTCCTCTCAGGTAAATACATTGTTGGGGGGGATTGGAATTGTGTTCTGGATTCCACTCGCGACAGATCAACCGGGACTGACCAAACACATAATAAAAGTAGAGAAACCATTTGTAACTTTATGAAAGAATTAAATATGGTAGATATCTGGAGATATCTAAAACCAACCGACATAACCTATTCTTGCCATTCAAGTACTTTAATACATACTCTCGCATAGACTACTTTTTAATTTCAGCAGATTTGTTAGCAAATGTAAATGACTGTTTCTATGATAGTATATTACTATCGGATCATGCCCCTTGTAATTTAATTTACTTAAACAACAAATTGGTGAAGGATCCCCCCAGATGGAGCCTACATCAAAAATGGCTAAAGGATGAAAAGTTTCTTAAATATGTTGAGGAAAGGATAGACGAATATTTTAATGTGAATACAACACAAACTACAGCTTGTATTAAGTGGGATGCCTTCAAGGCCTGTTTAAGGGGTTACATAATTGGTTACACCTCATCAAAATCTAAAGAACAATGTAAGAAAAGGGAACAGTTAGTTTAGAATAAAAACACTTGAAGAACAGGTTTTTAGAGATGGTAACTCATCAGCTGAGAAGGAATTATTGTTGTTAAAAGCACAATACAATAAAGAATCTGCTGACAGAGCAGCCTCCACTTTACTAAGGTTAAATCAATCGTTCTATGAACAAGGAGAAAAGCCCGGGAAACTCTTAGCATGGCAAATTAAGCAGATGGAAGCCCAAAAAAACATAACATCTATCACCAATAGTAAAGGGGAAAATGTGGTAGAGCCGACCAAAATTAATGAAGAATTTAGAAAATATTATGAAAGACTTTATGATTCTCAGGATACCTCTGATTTACAGCAACATAATATTTTTCTTAACAAGTTAGATATTTCAAGTATAGATGAAGATTATAGACATCAATTAGAGGCTGAAATGAATGAAGAGGAAATAAGTAGGGCAATTGACAGCATGAATCTGGGGAAAAAAGCAGGACTTGATGGGTTCCCAATAGATTTCTACAAGAAATTTAAAGAGCAACTAAAAAAGCCTATACTAGAGATGTTTCAGGAAGGTTTTCTCATGGTGGGCTCCCTAAATCAATAATGGGAGCATTACTTATTTTGTTACCCAAGCCAGGGAAACCCAATAATAAGTGCGAAAACCTGAGACCAATAAGCCTACTTAACGCCGACCTTAAAATACTTTGCAAATTATTAGCAAAACGTTTGCAAGATTCACTTCCTTCAGTGATACATAGGGATCAAAATGGTTTTATTTTTGAACGCCAAGGTCTGCATAATGTCAGAAGGCTTTTTAACATTATTAATGGCCTAGACAACAAAACAAATAAGGCTCTGCTTTCTCTAGACGCCGAGAAGGCATTCGACAGGGTTTAGTGGCCCTACCTTTTTAATGTCTTGAGTCGATTTGGGTGCAATTGTTATATTTGAATCCTACTGCGGAAATATTGACAAATATGAATGTATCAACCCCAATCACTATTAAACGTGGATGTCGTCAAGGGTGTCTGTTGTCCCCATTGCTACTTACTTTAGCAATGGAACCTCTGGCCATAGCTGTAAGGTCTCATCAATCTATAACAGGTATTACAATTGGACAAGTAGAGCACAGACTCTCATTATATGCAGATGATGTCATCCTGTTCATCTCAAACCTAAATAGATCTGTCCCAGCTTTGTTAAAACTTATAGAGGTGTATGGTCACATCTCATGGTATGTCATCAACAGATCTAAATAATCTGCGTTGTTATTGGATGAGAGAGAAAATGAAACACCACCTCAGGTTCTTTCTCAGTTTAAAGTTGTTAGTGAATTTAATTACTTAGGAATTCAGGTGCTTTCAAATTTGGATATAATCGTCAAAAATAACTATGGACGTTTGACAAAAGAGATTACTGAGAATGTCAATAGATGGATGTCCCTCCCCATGTCATTGATTGGTAGGATCAACATTTACAAAATGAGTATACTTCCAAAGATATTATATGTTTTTCAGAATGTTCCGCTGCCGCCTCCTTCAGACTGGTTTAGTAAAATGAAGAAGTTAATGATTTAGTTATTTATGGGAATATATATTTAGTTTTATATGGGAAAATAAACGAGCCAGGGTTAGATTGTCTGTCTTACATTTACTCACAGTGAAGGAGGACTGATGTGCCCGAATATAGTCTGGTATTACTGGGCAGCCCAGCTTAGGACCATTCGATATTATTTTAGTACTAAAGATGTCCCCCAGTGGACAGAAATGGAATCTAATTCTGTAAGTCCACCTCTTCCCTTGTTTATTTTGTCTGATACAGTAGCTAAATTAATGAAGAAAACAGTTAACCCAATGGTTAGAAATATGGTTAAAGTTCAATTTATATGATGTCATTTGAAGCACTCAGGCAAAAATTTAACATACATAGAAAATACTTTTTTAAATATCTTCAACTTAGAAGTTATATCAGGACAAAACAAAGTAATGATATAATCAAACCACCAAAATCCAATTTAGAGGAAATGGCCTGCAAAGATAGCTCAAGCAAAGGTGCAATT